ATTGCAAATTTACTGACCCTCACTTCAAAGAAACCTATTTAGCTACACTCAAAGTAAACCTGAAGATGATAAGCTTCCTCTTTTTCTTCATTGACCTTGACATCTCCCCTCACGTAACCTCACCCTGAACTTACATTAGATACAGATAAAATAATCTGTTAGAAAGGTAGAATTTCGCATGCCAAATATATGTATGAGTAAACATTTTTCCTAGCCTTTTCTCAATATATTATCCCAATCTAAAATTACACTCACCCCTGAAGTTTGAAAATTAAATCCTTCATTAAAGAATGTTAGCTTTGTCCGTTTAGAACAATTGGTCAATGAATAGTTGTCCACAATCCTCTTGACATCAGCAAATGTATTTGAGGAAGATTCAAAAGTGATATTGAATCCAGCTTAAATTCTCACGCTGCAAACTAAAAAAAAAGCAGAATGATTAGTTATAAGAAACAACTGTCTCAGAAATAACATACACAATGTAGTACTCTGTTTTAACTGTCTAACACTACGAATTGTTATATAATGCATTTCAAGAGCACAAAGAAACACCGGCAGAACTGATGCAACTTAGCCTTTAGCTTGACAAACCACCATTTGACTAAGACACAAAACCTTTTAGGGAGAAATATTCCAATAAAATGGACCGTACCGAGTGCTCCCCTAATAGCCTGAAGGAAGTTTCTGAAAAAGCAAAGATAGTGAGATATTATCAAACTCGTTTCTTGAAAAGTATGATCCAGTCTTGACTTACCGCAAAACCGGAAGTTGCTTTTTCTCCGAGAAGGGCGGAAGATGGCGGAGAAGGGGCCGTGCGTGAAAAGTCCTGTCTTCCGTTTGTGCACACGTCGCGCCTCCTCCTCGCCTCCAGACAACAGCGCTTCAGCAATCACGTGAAACCGTTTCCGTTCTCTGCAGTGATTGGGCTGTCTTCTTCAGCGCCAAACTGAAGCACTGAGCCGACTTTTTAATTTTTTAAAGTTACCACGTGAAAGCAAGTGTTTTTTTTCATTCCCTGACGTTGTACACGTGAGGTAATTCAATAAAGTACTGTAGATCTATTACCATTCAAAGTTCTTACGTTATTCTAATCTGTGACGCACTGTTTAATGTTCCGAGGAGCTCCACGCACAGAGACAGAACCAACGGGCTCCAATAAAGAAACAGTTGGTTGAAAGGCTGAAAAAATACTTTAGTGTGCTCTTACCAACCAAATGTATAAGTGGTTGTGTTGTGTGAATCAGATAAACTAGGATGAAAAGATTCCACGGATCCACTATTTACAACCTTATATCGCTGATAATTAATTCGTGAATGTGGACAGCGGCACTTGCTGTTATTTGCTCTATGCACATTCATGCGATGCACTCGAATGTGCACTTCCAGGTGCTGCAGCTGCGCTTTGTAGGACAGCCCGGCGCTCAGTGAAAGCACAGCTCTAACAGGTACCAGAGCCGGACCCAGATGCCAGACAGAAGCCATGTGCAAGTGGGTCTCCCCTCCTATCTCCCCCGTTTCTCCCTTGCCTGCCATGTCCTCCCCTGACTCTTCCTAAAAAAAAACAAATCCAACCACGCTCACCGAAATTTAAAAGCTCGATACCTAAATTTTCCATTGCGTTTAACATGCCTGCGGTATTGCGCAAAACACACACAACAGTCATTTACCGTTTTTTATTTTGCATACATGAGACCCTTGAGTAATTAATTGACTTTTGGTTGAGAGTGAATAAAAAAAAAGAAAATATAGAAAAATCCACACTGTACTTATTGCCAAACTCATTGTTAACTATTGTATTGAAAATACTATGTAAACGTTTGCATTGCCAAGTTTATATAAATGAATCTCAATTCATGTATATGAATGTCTGTTTTTGGATTGTCTAGACCTTCTTAATAATTTAAAAAAATGCCACCGCCACAAAAAAAATAAAAATATCAGGAGCAGTTAAGCAGTTGGAAAGTAAGTCAGAGAAGCACAAGTAATAGCATATTATGAATTGTGATATTATTTACGGTTAACATACATAAACTCAACAACAAGAAGAACAATATAGGAATGTTGAGGTAGAACTACAGCCCTTAATGCATCATGTGAGGTTGGAATTTTTGTAGGTATGCATGGGACTATGATTTGTTTTTAGAGATTGATCGTATATGTCAAACAATGTATGAGCTACTCACTGTCGATTCTAATCAATATTTTCTCCACTGTTTTTTTAATTATTATAGGAAATTGAAAGATCAGAGCAATGATTATTTCAAGTATCGAGACATTTTCCTGAACTGTTAAGCCTCAGGTGAGGCTATTATGTAGATTTGGATTAGTTTTAAGTCAGGATAAGAATGCGAACGCAACGCAAAACTCAGAAGCTCTGATCCAATTGATTTTGTTTTTAACTATTAGAAAAAATCCTTAACCTTCTCATTCAGTCCTACAGCTGAGATATAGTATAGAAGCAACACACTATTGCTAATATAGTGTGTTTACACAACAAATCTGGGGAAAACTCTATGGAAACCCGTGTCAGGTGAGACTCAGTCTGTTGGAATTCCCACAAAAAAAACAAGATTGAACCAAACCTGCACCATTGCGCTCAGTATAAGACTGCGTGCAAATCCTGTTTTGCCTAGTGACGCACAGCTGTGGCGCAAAACTAAAAAAGTCGGTGTGACTCTCAAATCATTAATGACAAAACAAAGAACTAAAACGAGATTTATATCGGAGCCTTTGAACAATTGAGACAGCTGAAAAAGTTCACGTAGAGCAGAACTTTTTCTACTTTGAATCCGTTCTTCACAGTGTCTCATCGTGTGAATCGGTGCCTAATACACTGTATGGCAGGGGTGCTCACACTTTTTCAGCATGCGAGCTACTTATAAAAGGATCAAGTCAAAAGGATCTACCTACTACAAAAATGCAAATCATATATTTCAAAAAATATTCTTTATATCTACAATGTATGTTTATGTACATGCAAAACCGCATGAGCCAATATAGCACAATACAACACAATTACCTATGTAAATTTGTCATTACCCGAGTTTACTCTGATGACTTTCACTGAACTGAATCGGCCAGGGATGCATAGTCCGGAAAATTGGTGGCAACTCGCTGACAAGTTTATCGTGGTTTAGCTTTCCTGCACTGAGCGCGGTTGTTTGCGCATGTGCAGTCACCTAAGTGTCAGTAAAACATTACTGAGTAAAACACAGATGTCATTTGACTGTGGTGCCATGTCCATGTGCCATGCCTGTTTTTTTTAAATCCAAATATTTCCCCTCCTCAGTTTATACAATAATTTGCATCCACACATCTGCGTTATCAATCACATTCGTAACGTTCCAAACATGTGCGTCTCTTACGTCCTGTCCTGCGTTGGGGAAAAACACAGAAGTGGGCGGAGCTTTGATGCAGACGCCGGTAACGGCACTTTTACAGTCATAGAAGACACTCAGAGTAAAGAGTAAGACGTATATTTACAAGCACTGACCCCGTCCTCAGCCCTGGTTTAGTCCTGGTTTAGTCCTGGTTTAGTCCTGGTTTGGTTGTTTTCGAGCGTGAGTCCCCGCGATCACTTTGCTGCTCTCTGATGTGGAGGATGCTGGGAGCATCTCACAGCGAACAGTTTTTAAGGTAGTATGATCCATGCTTCAGTGATCAGAGGAATTTAGGGGGGTACTGTGGCGTGCGAGAACGCAAAACTCCGGTTATCTCTGTCTACACACAAATGCATTAACGGAGTTTTCAAAAATCTCCACTTTGCCCGGAGTTTTTTGTATATATTTGTTTAGAATGTGTAATTTTTTATTTATTTAATGCGATCTACCAATACTACCTTTGCGATCGACTGGTAGATCGCGATCGACGTATTGAGCACCCCTGCTGTATGGGAATGAGAGTAATGTGTATAATCTTTACTTGTTGGGTAGAAATCTCTCCAGATATCTATGATCCCATGGTGCGACATCAATATTTTCATTTTCTTCTGTATGGAATTTTGGGAGATTAGCCTTGATGCGTCAAGCCTTGGGTTTAGTCTTATGTTCCAATCCCCGCCACATATAAGCACACCATTTGCCTGTGTCATCAACTCAATAAGTTTCCTATAAAAGGAAAAATCACTGCCTGGGGGGACATAAACATTTAGTAACGTTATCACTGTTCCGTCTATTTTGCCTGATATTAAAGAGTAGCGTCCTTCTTTGTCTTTATTCTCAGTAAGAAGCTCAAATGGTACATTGTGAGATATTAAAGTGGCTACCCCCCTTCTTTGGCCAGATTTATAGGATGAATAGTATACTTTGGAAAATCCCATTCTTTTCAATTGTTCATGTTCAGTTGAACTCAGATGTGTTTCCTGTAGCATAGCAATTTGAACGTTATCTTTGTTTAGCTTGGATAATATTTTACTCCGTTTAATTGAGTTAAGAACACCGTTTACATTGTACGATGTGAGTCTTATAGTATTTTTCATGGTGGTATCCAAAATGGTCTCTCAATACAATACTCATTAATACTGTGCATCCCTTTAACAATAGAACAATTAACGAAAAAAGAACAACAACATAACATTGACATCTCAGTAAATACTGAAACCATAATAGTCTGTTGCTGGGAGTGTGCCTCCTGGATAGAGGTCCTGAATAGAACCTTCAAGGAGCTCGAGATTTTAGAGCTCCCAACAGGGGAAAGCCTGCTCACTTCAAAGAGCAGGGCCCAGTAAGATGGCTGTGCCGTGTCTGTTAGCATAGTGAGCGTATAGGTTTAATAACCTAATAAAATAAAGGAGTCAAAGAGGGGGGGCGTGTACACAACAGATTCTACATTTCTCCCGATCACTTATCTGTAGGTGGATTTCGTCTGAATTCCCGCAGCTTTTCAATAAACGGTCTTTGGATGAGCCGGCTCGTCAGAGTCGGTCCGGTGCCTGAAGGAGGGGGTGTGCTGGTTCGGTCTCCGGGGATCGCCTGCCACGGTGAGAGCCGCTGCAACTCGCGCTAGTAGGGATCGACGGTAGACGGGATCACGGTCACCGGGAGTCCTCTTGCAGCCATGTCCACTGTCGCCTCCGCCGCGCTCTGATACAAGCGGGTCTCCTCGTTATAAAACACTCTCATTTTTGCAGGATAGGGAGTTTGGAACTTTATATTGTGCTCTTTGAGGACTCTTTTGGCCTGGTTGTATTCGGTGCGTTTCTTTAGAATCAGCGGAGGGTAATCATGGTCAACGTAGAATCGCGTGTCCTTGTACATCACTTGTTTCTTCTGCCAGGCAATCCTTATAACTTCTTCTTTGACCCTGAAGCTGGAAAACTTGGCTATGATTGAGCGTGGCCGTGTCAGTCCTCCAGCAGGTTTCGGGGCCAGGGCTCGATGTGCCTTTTCTATCTTTAAATCAGTTTCAGGCGGAAAGGCGAGAGAATCACGAAGCATATTTTCCAGAAAGACAATAATATTAGTTCCCTCTGCTTCCTCTGGGATGCCGTATATGCGGAGGTTATCTCTCCGTGCGCGGGCCTCCTGGTCAGTGAGCTTAGCCTCCATGGTGTCTTGCCGCGCTAGCAGTTGCTTTATGAGCGTCGATGTTGCTCCCAGCGCCGTTTCCACTTCATCAATTCATGCTTCGGCTTGTGTCACTCTGGCGTCCGTCTGTTGTTGGTTTCTTTGAATTTCAGAAAATTGTTCCTTGTTTTTGTGTCTAAAGTTTTTGAGCTCCCGGAGAATGCTAGCTAGGCTAACTGGATCATCTTCGTCGTCCTCCTCCTCGTGTGAGGGCGAGTTCCCCTCGTTATCCCCCACCATTTCGTCAAAACGTTGAGTCGTACCCACAGCTCTACTCCTTCTTGACTTACCCCCAGGCATTTCTTCAAAACTGATCAATTAGTACTAAGTACCAAACTTTTGGGGTATTTTATTCAAAACCGTCGGAGAGCCCAAAAGCTAAACTGCCATCTTGGATGCTACCCGGAAGCCTCTCCTGCGATTAGTTTTTAACAGATATGCGATTAATTGGTACATTTGATTGGATTCATTGGATTCAGGCTTAAAATGAGGTATAACTTCTACATGTGGTTCATATTTGACAGAGCTGAAATATTTACTCAGCTAAATTAGCGTCATACACTGTAAAACAAGTCTGAGACTGGAGCTTCACAATGAGGTACAGTATAATGTTGGCAAAGCAGAAGTTGGCTGGATGACACTGTGAATTTGTGTTGATGGTTACATGGTGTTAGCAGCAGAGGGCCTCAAAACATAACACTGAGGGCTGCAATAGGCCCACGGGCCTGAGTTTGGACAGCCTTAGAGAATGCAGAACAAGGCTTTACTTGCAGTCTGAAGGCACATCAGTGAAGACACGCAGCAGGAAGTCGCCCTGCTGCCCGGGGTCAAAGGTCGTGGGGATGATGACGTAACGGCCCTCCTTCAGCTCCTTTCGCAGGAACACGCAGCGAGAGTTGATGTAGATGGAACCCGCAACCTTCTGCTGCGCCGTGTGCATGCGGTACTTTCGGTTCAACTCCACCTGAAGCGCAGCACAGACACAACATCTCAATCATATTTATTTATATTTAACATAGAACAGACCGGGATCTGAACACATAACAGACAGAGGACTGCCACAAAAAGCCACTATCTACTACTACTACTGCTACTGCTACTACTACTACTATTACTGATACTGCTGCTACTACTACTAATACTGCTACTGCTACTACTACTACTACTACTACTACTACTACTACTGGTACTACTGCTACTACTACTACTACTATTACTACTACTGCTACTACTACTACTACAACTACTGCTACTGCTACTACAACTACTACTACTACTGCTAGTACAACTATTACTACTTCTACTGCTACTACTACTGCTTCTATTGCTGCTACTACTACTACTACTACTATTGCTACTACTACTACTACTACTACTACTACTACTGCTACTACTGCTGCTGCTACTACTACTGCTACTACTGCTGCTGCTACTACTACTGCTACTACTGCTGCTGCTACTACTACTGCAACTACTACTAATATTGCTACTACTTTTGCTAGAGCTACTACTACTGCTACTGCTACTACTGCTACTACTACTACTGCTACTATTACTACTACTGCTACTACTACAACTACTGCTACTGCTACTACAACTACTACTACTACTGCTAGTACAACTATTACTACTTCTACTACTACTGCTACTATTGCTGCTACTACTACTGCTACTACTACTACTACTACTACTACTACTACTACTACTACTACTGCTACTACTACTGCTACTACTGCTGCTGCTACTACTACTGCTACTACTGCTGCTGCTACTACTACTGCAACTACTACTAATATTGCTACTACTTTTGCTAGAGCTACTACTACTGCTACTGCTACTACTACTACTACTACTACTGCTACTACTACTACTACTACTACTACTACTGCTACTACTACTGCTACTACTACTGCTACTACTACTACTACTACTACTACTGCTACTACTACTACTACTACTACTACTGCTACTACTACTACTACAACTTCTACCAGTACTACTATTAGTCCTAGTGCTAAAGCGTGTCCAGCCCAGACTGCTTGATCAGAGGACATCAGAGTGGGTCAGTAACAGTATTATAGTATTATGGGATGTCTGCACTTTCTCTTGTCAAGGACTTTGATTATCTAGACTTAATAGTAGCTAGCAGCTCTTTCACATGCTAGCTCTCTTTTCAGCTCTGACTGGAGAGGAAGTATTCAAGATTCAAGATTAAAGGAATTGATTTGCCATTTGCAGTAAAACCACATTGGAAAAACTGTGCAAACCCTTTAACTATCACTATTAACAAGTTCTAAAGTGTGATTTGCTTAAAAACGGTTCTTCTTGGGTGTAAAAACAGAGTAAGTGGAGGGACCAACATTCAGAATTGAAACATGAAACTGAGGCACTGAAAAGTTTCAAAAAATCTTTCAAATCCTTTATTAAACAAACTGCACCAGAAAACCCCGAAGGCCGGACGGCTGAAACTTTTGAGTGCCTCAGTCTCCTGTTTCAGCTGTGTTCTGCTCTGTGCCTAAGGTTCATGGGAGAACCACGGGAGGCGGAGAATGCTCAGGATATGGGAGAACCATGGAGGCGGAGAATGCTCAGGATATGGGAGAACCACGGGAGACGGAGAATGCTCAGGATATGGGAGAACCACGGGAGGAGGAGAATGCTCAGAATATGGGAGAACCACGGAGGCGGAGAATGCTCAGAATATGGGAGAACCACGGAGGCGGAGAATATAAAAACTCAGGGATGCAGCTGGCATGCTAGCATCAGTTACCTGTGGTCACTTTATGAACACTTTATTTTGATCCATTGAGTTTTAGCGGCTGCAGGACATTAGTTTATTGTCACAAACTCTATAGAAAATGGATCATATTTTACCATTTGTTATTGGAATAGGCCTGTTCATCAGCGTGACAGCGGTGGGAGCCAAATCAAAGTCAGCTTCTTCCTTTTTCAAACAAATTTAACATTCTGTTTGAAACAGTGACGTGTGTCAGAACACTGTTGGGTCTTGAACATATATATTACAGTGTTATTGTTACTGTTGGGTCATGAACATATATATTACTGCATTATTGTCACTGTTGGGTCTTGAACATATATATTACTGTGTTATTGTCACTGTTGGGTCATGAACATATATATTACTGTGTTATTGTCACTGTTGGGTCATGAGCATATATGTTACTGTGTTATTGTCAGAACACAGCAGGGTGCTCTCTCACAGCAGGGTTCTCTCACACACACCAGGGTGCTCTCTCACACACAGCAGGGTGCTCTCACACACAGCAGGGGGCGCTCTCTCAGCAGGGTGCTCTCTCACAGCAGGGTGCTCTCACACACAGCAGGGTGCTCTCACACACAGCAGGGGGCGCTCTCTCAGCAGGGTGCTCTCTCACAGCAGGGTGCTCTCACACACAGCAGGGGGCGCTCTCTCAGCAGGGAGCTCTCTCAGAGCAGGGGGCGCTCTCCCAGCAGGGTGCTGTCTCACAGCAGGGTGCTCTCACACACAGCAGGGGGCTTTCACACACAGCAGGGTGCTCTCTCACAGCAGGGTGTTCTCTCACAGCAGGGTGCTCTCACACACAGCAGGGGGCGCTCTCACCCTGTGGATGTCGAAGCCGATGGCCAGGTTCTCGGACTTTCCGTCTTTGGGCGTCGCTCTCTTCTCCTTCTGCTGTAAACAAATGAGCACCTCGTCTTCCACCTTCTTCACGTCAAACACGTACTGAAACAGAGGATTCAGCAGGTTACCTGTGCTCCTGTACTTGTGTGTCTGTACCTGTGCTCCTGCACCTGTCTCCTGTACCTGTGCTCCTGTACCTAAGTATCTGTACCTGTGCTCCTGTACACTGCTCTTGTGCCTTTGGTCCAGTACCTGTGCTTCTGTACACTGCACCTGTGCCTTTGTTCCTGTGCCCGTCTCGTGTACCAGTGCTCCTGTCCCTGTGCACCTGTAACTGTGCTCCTGTACCTGTGCTCCTGTGCTTGTCTCCTGTGCCTGTGCTCCTGTACCTGTATGTCTGTATCTGTGGGTTCTGCGTTCTGCAGGAAGCTGGCCTTGTGGTTGATGCAGCCCCCGGCCCGGTTCCGTTGCGGGTCCTGTACCTGTGCTCCTGTGCTTGTGTGTCTGTACCTGTGTGTCTGTATCTGTGTTTCTGTACCTGTGCTCCTGTACCTGTGTGTCAGTACCTGTGGGTTCTGCAGAAAGCTGGCCTTGTGGTTGATGCAGCCTCCGGCCCGGTTCCGTAGCGGGTCGTGTACCTGTGTGTCAGTACCTGTGGGTTCTGCAAGAAGCTGGCCTTGTGGTTGATGCAGCCCCCGGCCCGGTTCCGTAGCGGGTCGTGGCGCTGGGCCCAGGAGCCCCTCATCACCTCCTCCTCCCAGGTCTTATGGATGCTCAGGTACGAGGTGTTGATGAGTCGGCACAGGATCAGGTCCGTGAAGTACTGGCAGAAGTCATCAAAGGTCATCCTGGAACCATGAGAGGAACCATCAGCCAGAGAGGAACCATCAGCCGGGAACCATCAGAGAGGAACCATCAGCCAGGAACCAGAGAGGAACCATCAGCCAGGAACCAGAGAGGAACCTTCAGCTAGGAACCAGAGAGGAACCATCAGCCAGGAACCAGAGAGGAACCAGAGAGGAACCATCAGCCAGGAACTAGAGACGAACCATCAGCCAGGAACCAGAGAGGAACCATCAGCCAGAGAGGAACCATCAGCCGGGACCCATCAGCCAGGAACCAGAGAGGAACCATCAGCCAAGAACCAGAGCAGAACCATCAGCCAGGAACCAAAGAGGAACCATCAGCCAGGAACCAGGAGCGGAACCATCAGCCAGGAACCAGGAGAGGAACCTTCAGCCAGGAACCATAGAGGCACCTTCAACCAAGAACCAGGAGAGGAACCAGAAGAGGAAACCAAGAAGAACCAAGAGAGGAACCTTCAACTCAGACCAGGAGAGGAACCTTTAGCCAGGAACCAGGAGAGGAACCTTCAGCTAGGAACCAGGAGAGGAACCTTCAACCAGGAACCAGAGAGAAACCTTCAACTAAGAACCAGGAGAGGAACCAGGAGAGAAACCAAGAAGAACCAAGAGAGGAACGTCCAACAAGGAACACCGATAGGAACCTCCAACAAGGAACACCGAGAGGAACCTTCAACCAAGAACCAGGAGAGGAACCTTCAACCAAGAACCATGAGAGGAACCAGAAGGACCAGGAGTGGAACCAAGGGAGGAACCAAAATAAGAACCAGAGGAACCAAGAGAGGAACCAGAGGATCAGAGCGCAGGAGAAAGTAGCGGCTAACAGTTAGCCTCGTGTAGAATGTGTGAGAGAAGAAGAACAGACCAGAATTCCCCGTCGTCCTGAACAGTGACTCCCAGTTTCTCCCGCTCGCTCTTGCTCACTTTGTTCCACTCTTCAGAACTGTGCACAAGAGAAGAACCACCTCAGTCCTGGGTCTACAGCATCAGTCCTGGGTCTACAGCCTCAGTCCTGGGTCTACAGCCTCAGTCCTGGGTGTACAGTCTCAGTCCTGTCCTGGGTCTACAGTCTCAGTCCTGGGTCTACAGCCTCAGTCCTGGGTCTACAGCCTCAGTCCTGGGTCTACAGCCTCAGTCCTGGGTCTACAGTCCCAGTCCTGGGTCTACAGCCTCAGTTCTGGATCTACAGCCTCAGTCCTGTCCTGGGTGTACAGCCTCAGTCCTGGGTCTACAGCCTCAGGTTACAGATCCAGAGGGCCTGCTGGTCCGTCTCAGCACATTACAGAAAGAGCTTCCATCAACAGATGCATTATTAAACAGGAAGTGGACCATATTAAACAGGAAGTGGACTCGAGAGACCAGAACAGCTTGTGGCTGCCGGATTCGTCCCGGAAACCGGATTCGTCCGGAAGTTCAGTTTGCGCATGTCAAAAGTGTAAATAAACGTGTAAACAGTTTATGTTGTTATATATAGATTAAATTCTTGATTTGTGCTCATATGTATGTAGGGTAATAATATTACAGTAAGCTATAAATTTAGTAGTGTGGAGCGGCTAGTCTCCGGATCAGAAACTCGCCGTTCCACCAATGGATCTGTCTTATTTATTTTGGGCACCAGTAGACGTTTGAGGGTCTACGACAGACCCAGGGTATTTGCCTCAATACCAGTATCACAAATCTGATGGGTTGAGTACGAAAATCGGCCAGGGATATACCGAAATCTAACAACACGACTCTGATAGGATTGAGTTAAAGAAAAGGGGTTTATTGATTACAAAAATGAAGGTAAAAATATAACGAAGGGGATTTCTGGTCACATTAAAGCAGAAGTGGTATACATTTCATTCAAATCACACATTTAACAAGAACAGTCTTACTTTGTAGGAGCGTAGAGGATGGAGAAAGGATTTGGGTTGGGGAATCAGCCCACGTGGTTTCTTTGTCTGGGCAGGCGGGAGGTACGAAGCCAGCGAGTTGGTCCAGCTGCTGATCCACGCGTATACAGCCCAGTCCGGAATGGGTTGCGCACGTAGAGTCCAGAGCCAGGAAAAAGAGGCTGGTGATGGAACAGTTCATAAGGTCCCGAGCCCGAGGAGAGTGTGTTTTGCGGAGTAGGAGGCCCGATGCGTGCTGGCGCGGCCGTAGTTGGAGACACGTGCCGCGGGACGCAGATGGCCAGGGAGAGCTGGAATAGTGATTTCAGGAGTGGACAAGAGGCAGTCTCTAGGTTTGCGGACTGGTTTTGTTGTGGTCAAAGTGGGCGCGCCCGTGACGTCATATTTGTGCGTCTTCCTTGGGCAGCCTCCCCACAACAAATGGGTTATAATGGGAACACACAGGATTAATACAGATGATCATAACACATGTACAAACACACACCACATTTCATTATTTGCCACTGATACACACATGTAGGACGCGGTACAGACTTATCGGAATAACACTGAGTCCGGGCTGGTCTACAGAATGTCCGGGCCGGGTGTGATGGCGTTCGGTGTCCACTGGGGGGCGCCAGAGTGCCGTGGGAGAGTCTCAGGTTGTGGAATGTCCCATGAGCGATTGCTGATGAATGATTCCTGATCTCCGTCTGGCAGAAGGGCACACAGATGTCCTGCTCTGTTGTTTTATTGCCCCTCTGGGTCTCGTTGCGGCGTTCCTGGTGAATGTTAGCCTTTAATTGAACCCGCAGTTACTTTGAAGTCTCAGGAGCTAGGGAGGGCATGTTTACGGAAAGGGTCTGCTATTCACGCCCGATTGGCGCTCACCTTTTCCTCACCCTACACGTATCAAGGTTTACTACGAGAAATGGCAGAAAAAACTCCGGGAAAAAAACACTTTTAGTAGCCACGAAGCTAGCGCCCAGATGCGTTCAAAGGCACACGGAAATGAGGCTAGCACATACACTGTTTAATTCTTGATTGACTTGCTTAACTAATAAATAAACACAGGGATCCACATAACAGGTGTATGATATTTAAACAAGTAAAGGACAGTGAAGCCACACAGCTCATTACCACAGTTTGACCTCTGTTTGCGTCGGTCTCTTAAGCCCCTCCCCTTTCAGCTGTCAATCAAGAAGGATTTTCTCAGAGCTTCAGTGAAAAGGGAGCAGCATCTGCCGTCAAAGCTCTTGATTCACTGGTCCTGATGCTGATGTATATACCTGTCGCTCCAGGGCCCACCCCACTGCTTCTCGCCCCACGGGTTCCTCATGTACAGTATATGTATGTGTGTATATATATATATAATATTATATATATATATATATATATATATATATATATATATATATACACCCGGTATGGAGCAGCTGATGAGGCCGTTATCGTGAGATTTGTATCATGTATCGTATCGTGAGGTACCCTTAGGTTCCCACCCTTAATATATATACACTGTATGTATATATACCTGTCGCTCCAGGGCCCGCCCCACTCCTTCTCGCCCCACGGGTTCCTCATGCGGATCATCTGCAGTTTCTCAGATTTGAAGAAGGCGAGGAGTCCGTGTCCGAGACGAACCTTCTTCACGTCAGTCACAGCATAAGCATGACCTTTGACCAGGCCACAGTCCAGGCGGGCCTCCATGTCCTCTATGGTGGTGGCCTGGGAGCACAGGGACACAGGAGCATAGGTACACAGGGGAACAGGGACACAGGGACATAGGTACACACAGGGACACACACAGTCCAGGCGGGCCTCCATGTCCTCCAGGGTGGTGGCCTGGGAGCACAGGGACACAGGAGCATAGGTACACAGGGGCACAGGGACATAGGTACACACAGGAACACACACAGTCCAGGCGGGCCTCCATGTCCTCCAGGGTGGTGGCCTGGGAGCACAGGGACACAGGAGCATAGGTACACAGGGACACAGGTACACACAGGGACACACACAGTCCAGGTGGGCCTCCATGTCCTCCAGGGTGGTGGCCTGGGAGCACAGGGACACAGGTACACACAGGGACACAGGTACACTCAGGGACACAGGTACACACAGGGACACAGGTACATACTGTAGGTACACACAGGGACACACACAGTCCAGGCGGGCCTCCATGTCCTCCAGGGTGGTGGCCTGGGAGCACAGGGACACAGGAGCATAGGTACACAGGGACCCAGGTACACACAGGGACACACACAGTCCAGGTGGGCCTCTATGTCCTCCAGGGTGGTGGCCTGGGAGCACAGGGACATAGGTACACACAGGGACACAGGTACACTCAGGGACACAGGTACACACAGGGACACAGGTACATAGGTACACAGGGACACACACAGTCCAGGCAGGCCTCCATGTCCTCTGGGGCGGTGGCCTGGGAGCACAGGGACATAGGTAAACAGGGACATAGGTACACTCAGGGACACAGGGACATAGGTACACAGCGACATAGGTACACAGGGACATGGGTACACTCAGGGACACAGGTGCACACAGGGACACAGGTACACTCAGGGACACACACAGTCGCCTCCATGTCCTCTATGGTGCTGGCCTGGGGCACACAGGGATACAGGTACACACACAGGGTGAGGGGGTGAGGACCTACCCGTATGGAGCAGCTGATGAGGGGGTGAGAGGGTGAGGGGGAGGGGGTGAGGACCTACCCGTATGGAGCAGCTGATAAGGGGGTGAGGGTGAGGGGGTGAGGACCTACCCGTATCGAGCAGCTGATGAGGCCATCTCGGTTGTGCACTTTGAGGACCCTCTCAAACATCTGGTTCCGGGCGGCTTCGTCTGAGGCCATGTGACCCTCCAGGAGGTCCACGGGTTCCGACACCCCCCCCGTGAAGTCCACCAGGGCATCTGCTGTGTTCCCCCCGTCCAAAGCCTCGTAGCACCCATACACCCTACAGGAGCAGCACACAGAACCTCCTGAGCACATGTCTAGCTCCTGATGAATGTAATAAAGTGCTACATTGTATCAGTTCTATGTGTTCAGTGCAGGACCTTCTTGCTGTGAGTCTGTATCAGTTCTATGTGTTCAGAGCAGGACCTTCTTGCTGTGAGGCTGTATCAGTTCTATGTGTTCAGAGCAGGACCTTCTTGCTGTGAGGCTGGAGTGCTCATCAAGTATTTGTTACGTCTGCCTCTTCCTCTCGAGCAAAACACAAACACCGTCGTAACTCAAACTGAACTGATCTGATCTGGACTGGACTGGACTGATCTGGACTGGACTGGCCAGGACTAGACTGATCTGGACCAATCTGGACTGGACTGCACTGGACTGGCCTGGACTTGACTGGACGGATCTGGACTAATCTGGAATAGAATGGACTGGACTGGCCTGGCCTGGACTGGACTGATCTGGACTAATCTGGACTGGACTGGACTGGACTGGACTAGACTTGACTGATCTTGACTGGACTGGACTGGACTGATCTTGACTGATCTGAGCTGGGCTGATCTGGACTGAGCTGGACTAGACTGGACTGATCTGGCCTGGCCTGGCCTGGCTCACTTGGCGTAGGCCTTTTCCACCAGGGCGCTCCAGAACTCGTTGGGGTCGTTGGAGTGGCAGTAGACCAGCTGGTTGTCCACAGTAGGGAGCCGGTCGTCGATGACCACGTCCACCCACTCCCCGAAACGCCAGAACCGGAAGTGGAAGATCCCGGCGTACGACTCGGGCTTCTCCTGGTCCCACTCCTGCTCCTTCCAGTCCGGGATGACCTGGCAACACGGGGCGCCAGGTTTAAAGCAGCAGTATGTAAGATGGTCATGTCATCATAAACGGGCCCTAACCTGTCATCAATAAAGGGCCCTAATCTGTTGTGAGGTGAATTAAAGGACACCCAGTCGAACATTGACCAGCAGGCCAGGATACGTAAACCTGCCCTCCTGAGCATGACCCATCTTGAGCCACATCTAAGGGACGACCAGGTCAACCAGAGGACATCATCGGTCACCGAGACCATAAGTGTCAACCAGGGCAATAAACTGAGCCCCGGAATAAACATCTTTGTACCTTTCTGCCCGGCAGAGATCAAAGATCACAACTCTGCTCTCACTCCCGGGACATTCCTGTCCCTGGACAATCAACGACTCACCCACGGCGTTCTGGCGCCCCCCAGTGGACACTGAACACTATCACACCCGGGACGGATATTCTAAACCAGCACTCCTGGATTCATTGTTCCGATAATCTGTGCTGTGCCCTACACGTGTGTATCATTGTCAAGTAATGTAAATGCGGTGTGTGTCTGTACATGTGTTATGAATGTCTGTATTAATCCTGCGTTTTGCCGTTATAACATGTCTGTTGTGAAGGATGTCCAGGGAGGCGCACAAGGATGACGTCACGGACGCGCCCCCTCTGGAAGTCAATAAAAACACACACAATGCAGTGATACGACCTCTTGGCTTCCCTTGCAATCACTGTAACAACCATCCCTGTTGGTACGTGTCTCTTACACGGCCTACGCCCGCCACCACCTCGGGCCTGTATATCCACAAGGACAGCAGCCACTCCCGCTGTCGGAGACGAGGACTTCCATCACCAGCCACTTTCGGGCTCCCTGGACACCCCACCGCAACACTATTCTAGAGCGTGTTGTGTGTGGAACCCACGTCTGGATCCGACCTGCTGGTTTCCTCCTGCTCCCCGTTCGGACAAAGAACACGTGGACGAGACCCTCGCTTTTCCCATCTCCATTCTTCATTCTCATCCTCTCACTGCCCTCCATCGCCATCACCTCTTGTGGACTTCTCAAAGTAAGACTGTTCTTTGTTGGAGTGTGATTTGAATGATATGTATGGCAATCTTTACTTAATGTGACCAGAAAACCCTTTTCTTTGATATTTTCTATTTTCATTTTTGTAGTCAATAAACCCACGTTAATTTTAACTCAATCATTTAAGCGTCGTGTTTTTAAATCTTGGGTATCCCTGGCTGATTTTCGTACTCAACCCCATCAGATTTGTGATACTGGTATCGAGGCAAATATCCCTTGGTCTGTCGTAGACTCTCAACGTCTGCGGGTGCCCTAAATAAATAAGACAGATCCATTGGTGGAACGGCGAGTTTCCGATCCGGAGACTAGCCGATCCACACTACTAAATTTAAGTTACCCTACATTTTAATTATCCTACACTGTCATCATTAAAGGGTCCTAGACTGTCATCATTAAAGGGCCCTAATCTGTCATCATTAAAGGGTCCTAATCTGTCATCATTAAAGGGCCCTAACCTGTCATCATTAAAGGGCCCTAATCCGTCATCATTAAAGGGCCCTAACTTGGCATCATTAAATGGCCCTAATCTGCCATCATTAAAGGGCCCTAATCTGTCATCATTAAAAGACCCTAATCTGTCTAATCTGCACAGTTTTTCCAATGTGGTTTTACTGCAAATGGCAAATAAATGAATCTGAATCTGAATCATCTAGTGAAGCGATGCAGCTGCGAGGGCAGTCTGCGAGTGTTATACCGCACCAAACACTAACTTTAGACACTTCGCACAGGGTCTGCAGTGGGAACAGTGTTTCTCAGAGTAAGGCCAAGTCATTGGGAGGTTCGGAGACAGGTCAGATTTGCGGAAAACAAGCCTGGAACTCCTGTTGGGGCACCGCGCCTCGACCTCCAGCCTCCGCTGCAGTTTCCGCTAAAATCTCCGCTAAAAGTGCTTCCCACATATTTATTTTCATGCCTCCCGTAATCACCGGGACAGTAACGTGTTGGAGAAGCCTTGTCTTGTGTGTGTTAGACGAGAGAGATCAGGGGAGATGAGAGAGAGATTAGGGGAGACTGCAGCAGCAGCAGGAGGGTCATGCAGCATGATTTGTATTTTTTACTATTTTCATGAACATTTACAATGTTACAGTGTGTGTTCTGTGTGTGTTCCATGCCGTCACAAAGCGCCACTGAGCACAACCATTCATTTGAATAGGGCGCCATCTTGGATCGCCGGGGCTTGGTGTGTTCATGTATTAGTGATCAATATATGTCTGTCAGTTAGAAAAATACAAATATTGTATGAAAATTCTAAAATCCACTATTTCTAACGCCAAATGACGTCATAATATGCAAATTAGATTGGGGGATTTATTCCCTACATAAACTTTGGACCATCCTTAATATGTTTCAAATTTACTGAAAGCCTTTATCTCTTATCACTTTTAAGTTATAGCCTTTTGAAATTAAGAAGTCAAAATCAAGCGTTTTATGAAAAAAACTTCTAGCGCTTAAAGGGCCCTAATCCGTCATCATTAAATGGCCCTAATCTGCCATCATTAAAGGGCCTAATCTGTCATCATTAAAAGGCCCTAATCTGTCATCGTTAAAGGGCCCTAATCTGTCATCATTAAACGGACCTAATCTGTCGTCATTAAAGGGCCCTAATCCGTCATCATTAAAGGACCCAAATCTGTCATCATTAAAGGGCCCTAATCTGCCATCATTAAAGAGCCCTAATCTGTCATAATTAAAGGGCCCTTATCTGTCATAATTAAAGGGCCCTAATCTGTCATCATCAAAGGGCCCTAATCTGTCATCATTAAAGGGCCCTAATCTGTCGTCATTAAAGGGCTCTAATCTGTCATGTTAGTAAAACATGCTCTTTTCCAATACTTCTTTAAGTATTCAGTTGGTCCTGGGTCCTGGGTCTACAGCCTCAGTCCTGGGTCTACAGTTTCCTCCACATGGCCCAGCCCTATAGGACATCATTAATAACTATAGTGTGATATGTTTCCTCCACATGGCCCAGCCCTATAGGACATAATTAATAACTATAGTGTGATATATGTTTCCTCTACATGGCCCAGCCCTATAGGACATCATTAGATATGAAATTATATTTATAACATAATGTATCAAAGTATCTATACCACATCTGTCAGCGAACAAACTATAAACAATAATTAGCATATGTATAAGTAGCAACAGGAAGTCTTTGAATCTACTTCATCTGTGAAGACGTTTCTCAGACGCTTTACTTCATTAAACTTTAGAAAGATCAGAATCTTTTCTGCTGTTTATGAAATTCATACTCAGTATACTGTATATACTCAGTATATAAACTTATACTGAGTAAATATACCCAGTATGAGTATTTATACTGAGTATAAGTATATTTACTAAGTATACATACTTATACTGAGTATATATACATATACTGAGTAAATATACCTATACTCAGTATAAATACTGGGTATATATACTATGCCAGTTTGGTCACAAGTCAAAATTATCACGATTCTGATTCTGCTGTGACATCATAGAGTCACAGCAGACATCATGTCTGCTGTGACTCTATGATGTCTGTTGTGACTCCATGATGTCACGATATATCACAGAATCACATACTGTCTGTATCGCGAAGTGTTGGGTAAGTTTGAAGCATTGTTGTGTGGCTCAGTAGTTTTGGCCTTTTGAAACTGCCCTGATGTTAATGTTTAGTTCAGTTATTGCTGAATTAAAAGAGCGCAGGACAAAGAGCCCTTGAGTGTGGAGAGCAGCAGCATCGATCCTGCCTCAGCCCTTTAGAGCTGATGGGTCCTGGGAGACGCCGCTTTAGCCTCAGCCAATCCCGCGCTGCCTGGAAAACGGCCCCTGAGGACCCCCTGTGCTCGGCCTGTTTACTGCTTATCAGCTCTAATGGACACTTAAACACTGCAGATGGAATAATTATGGACCGCTCCAGGACCATGAGACCAGGAAACGTCCACATGGTCTGAGTTAATGTCACTAAGAGGCTAAGCCTAACAGAGCCCAGAGAGAGCTGACACCACAGGCTGTGTCCTGACGAGAACCAGGAAGTGCATCACACTAGTGAACCAGGAAGTACATCTCACTTGTGAACCAGGAAGTACATCACACTAGTGAACCAGGAAGTACATGACACTAGTGAACCAGGAAGTACATGACACTAGTGAACCAAGAAGTACATGATGTCACTCGCGTATTCGTCCCGGAAACCGGATTCGTCCGGAAGTTCAGTTTGCGCATGTCAAAAAGTTAAATATGTCCTTAAGTGGTGACTGGTTAAGTTTTAGGCGTCTGATTAAGATGGTTAAGTTCAGGGTTAAGGCTGGGTTGGGGTTATTTTATGGGAATGGCTGGTTAAGTTAAGGCATGAATAGGTAGTTTTTTATATATACTTCCGCTTCCGTCCAGATTCCGTGACGTAATCTACTGCTGCGTATGCTCATTGGATCAAACTGAACTTCCGGACGAATCCGGTTTCCGGGACAAATACGGGAGTGACAGATGACACTAGTGAACCAGGAAGTGCATCACACTAGTCCTGACCAGGAAGTAAATCACACCAGTGAACCAGGAAGTACATCCTATTAGTCCTGGTCTCAGGTCTCTGCTTCCTGTGGCTCAGAGAAGAGACTTTAAAGGTCCCTTATCACACTTTTTGACTTTTCTCTGGTTTGAACATCGTTACAGAGCTATTGGAGTCGGTTTTTCAGTGACTCCCCAAGCTTTAGTCACAGAAAGATCTTTCTCTTTCATTCTCCAGACACTCAAAAACAGCTTTCTTCACTTTGTTATGTAGCATCACTTTCACGTCGCTCGAGCTCAGAAGCCCCGCCCCCAGGAGGTGATTGACAGCATCATGTTATCTTGGAGAAAATTTGTTTATGGATGTAACTTTGTGAATTTGACCCGAAGACAAAGTATGTGTGAGTGTAGCTGGACTTTCTATTCACGGGATCTACCTTTGAAAGTACATCTGTGACATGGGAGAGCCCTATGAACCAACTCTGAGGAGCACAGGGACTGGCCACCTGCTGGGATTCTGACGAGCACAGGGACTGGCCTCCTGCTGGGACTCTGAGGAGCACAGGGACTGGCCTCCTGCTGGGACTCTGAGGAGCGCAGGGACTGGCCTCCTGCTGGGACTCACCTTCTGCCACAGGGACTCTCTGGAGGCCAGACTGGAACAGGCGGCTACAAACCAACAGTTCCCCAACTGTCCCTGATGCAGGTCGTGGGCACTGATCCCATCCACGAACAGGTGAGGGCCTCCACACAGCTCCTGCAACAGACACCTGTTTTATATTCTGGTTCTTCAAAGTAGCACCTTTTGCTCTGATTACTGCTTCACTTTTGGGATTCTCTTGATGAGCTTCAAGAAGACCTGAAATGGTCTTCAACAGTTTTGAAGGAGTTCCCATGATGCTTAGCACTTGTTGGCCCTTTCACTCTGTGGTCCAGCCCCAAAACCATCTGGACTGGGTTCAGGTCCGGTGACTGTGGAGGTCATGTGGCCCAGCGCCATCACTCTCCTTATTGGTCAAACAGCCCTTACACAGCCTGGTGTGGATCTACAGCTTATAGTCATGAAAAGAACTCAGTGAAGGAGAGAGGGTGTCCAAACTTTTGCTCTGTATTGTATATTCATGTATTTTGTTATTGTTGAGATGAATTTGCCCCTGTTCAGGAGTCTGTCACGCGCAGACCGTTTGACTAATTCAAACTCTGTGATCAACTATTGAGGGTACATGTGTTGAGATGATGTAGAGCAATTTTCAGCCAAATAAGTGAAACGGCCGCGGCTGGTTTGATGTTTGAGCAAGATGTACTTTCCAGAGATTAAACAATTTTCCCATAGACACAGAATGGGGAGTGTTTGTTGTCGCCACGGCAACAGGGTAAAAATTAAGCTTTGACTTTTTAAATCCAGAGGACAAAACAGAATTATGTGCAAAATTTCAAACATTGAATTCAGCCCATGTAAAACTTTGACATAGTCTGTAAGGCGCGCTAATGAGCCAATTTGAATATTTCCAGACCAGACCCTGAAGCTGAAAGATGAATTCAAGTGTTGTGCAAATCAGACTTTGTTTGTGCAAACGGGAGCAAATTTGCTTTTGTCGACAAAAAAAAAGCAAGTCACAATTTGCCGCTCCGCTGCTCAGACAACATTTAACCGATCTAAATTCTATGATCAACTATTGATGGTACATGTGCTGAGACTATGTGGAGCAATTTTTCTTTCCAACCAACGTGTGTGAAAAAGATACATTTTCATTTTTAAATTTTCCATTGAAATTAATGAGCTTCCTGTTTGTCAGGGGGCATGGCCATACTAACTTATTTTTCATGTCTTGAAAAAAACTTTCAGGCATAAAATTTATTATTTTGGTTTAGAAAATCGTTTAATCTCTGGAAAGTACACCTCGCTCAAACATCAAACCAGCCGCGGCCATTTCACTAATTTGGCTGAAAATCGCTCTACATCATCTCAACACATGTACCCTCAATAGTTGATCACAGAGTTTGAATTAGTCAAACGGTCTGCGCGCGACAGACTCCCAAATTGTGGATATTTTCACAGAGAGGTGTGAAGTTCCCATGTTATCCAATGGAGACTGTATGGACACACTCACAGATTGTATGTACAAACAGGAGCACATTTAGCGTTAAACTTGACTCGGTTGTTCCTGGGCCTAGGTCACATGACAGTGTGAACAATGGCATTGGCCCATTAGGGCCCCCTACAGACTGAGTAAAGGTTTACATGGGGATACAGGTATTTCGTTTTTCTGTTGTTTGATCTCATATTTGACCCACTGAACAATCACAAAAACTCACAAAAAACTTTCAGGCATTATTTTGGTGTTCTTTGGTATAAGACAAAAAAAATGAAATTGTAGGGGGGCGCTATTCTACAAAGTAAAAGCCACCGTTTGCACATACAAAGTCCGATTTTGGGTCTAAAAGCTGACATTGCAGCATTAGCGCCCCCTATAGACTCTTTCAAAATTTGACAACATCAAAATGTTTGAAATTTTGCACATAATTCTGTTTTGCTCTCTTGATTCAAAAAGTCAATATGACCCAAGACATATTTTTTACCCTGTTGCTATGGCAATGATAAACACACCCCATTCTGTGTCTATGGCAAAATCATTAAATCTCTGAAATGTACACCTCGCACAAACATCAAACCAGCTGCGGCCGTTCCACTAATTTGGCTGAAAATCGCTCCACATCATCTCAAAGTTCTGTTTGATACGATCAATTCTCTTGTTTGTCCTGCTGTTCCAACTGCCCCTGTCACTTGTGAAGCTGACGGCAACGCATTTTTAGGTTTTTATGGACAAAATTAAGCGGATCAAAGAGAATATCCCTCCCGTTTTGAGTGGTGCCCCTGCTGTTACTGAGCCGGTCTCCAGCCTGTGGTCCTTTTTCAAGTCGGTGACACTTGCTGATATCTCGGCACTGGTGACCAAGATGAAACGCTCCTCTTGTCCATCCGACATCAATCCATCAAGACTTTTTGTGAAAGTGTTTGATGTAATTGGCCCCTGGGTTATCAAAATGATTAACCTCTCCCGTTATGCAGGCGTGTTTCCTAAAGCATTTAAACATGCCACAGTGGAGCCATTACTAGAGAAGACAGGCTTAGATCCAACTAATCTAAATAATTAGTTTCAGGCCGATCTCTAAACTTCCACTCTTGTAAAAGATCCTAGAGAAGGTAGTCTCTAAGCAGCTCTCATCATTCCTGGATCAAAATGACATCCATGAGACATTTCAGTCTGGTTTTCGTCGACACCATTCCACTGAGACGGCCTTACTGAAAGTTTCCAGTGATATAATGATGCCGGCGGATTCTGAAGAGTGCACTGTTCTGGTTCTTCTGGATCTGTCCGCGGCGTTTGACACCGTCGACCACCAGATCCTCCTGCGAAGACTGAGGGATGGAGTGGGACTGTCGGGGTCAGTGCTTCAATGGTTTTCTTCGTACTTATCTGGACGCAGTTTTAGTGTCACAGCAAACCAGATATGTTCTGAGTCAGCAGATTTGTTGTGTGGTGTCCCCCAAGGTTCCGTTTTGGGTCCGCTACTATTCCTGTTGTATTTGACCCCCTTGGGAAAGATTGTCCAGAGATTTCCACATTTTTGCTGATGATATCCAGCTAAGCTGCTCTTTCAAGCCTATCGAGCTCCAGAGGCTTAACTCCTTAGTCCATTGCTTGGTTGAGATAAAACAATGGCTGAGTGACAACACTTTGCAGCTCAACGCTGACAAAACAGAAACACTGATGACCACATCCCAGGGATAAACAAGGGCCTAGGTGACTTAAGCCAGTCAGTTAAACTGAGCCTCAGAAACCTAGGTGTTATTTTTGATAAGGACATGTCATTAGTGCAACACTGTAAACATCTGACCAGGAACTGCTTTTTTCAGCTAAGGAGTATCTCCAAAGTCAGGAAAATGGTTTCACAGAATGACTTGAGGTGATTATTCATGCATTTGTGTCTTCGCGTTTAGACTATTGTAATAGTCTGTTTTCTTGTTTAAACAAGAAAGTCTCGTCTGCAGTTTGAGCAGAACTCTGCAGTGAGAATCCTGACCCGCACAAGCAGGAGGACGCACATCACCCCTGTCCTTAAAGCTCTTCATTGGCTGCCAGTGTCCTACAGGATACATTTTAAAATTCTGGTTTTAACATTCAAAGCTTTGCACGGTCAGGCCCCGTCTTACATCAGTGACCTGATCCAGCCTTACACCGCAGCCAGGGCTCTGAGGTCTGTGGATCAGAACCTCCTGATGGTCCTACGCACTCGTTTCAAGACCAGAGGAGACAGGTCCTTCCAGGCTGTTGCTCCCAAGCTTTGGAGCGTTCTCCCGCTCTCATGTATTTGTGCAGGCTTTTGCATAATTCTGTCTTTTTTTTTTACATGGTTGTCTTGGCCTTTAAAAATGTGTATGTCAAATTTTTATAATGTCTGTTTTTATAGTATGTGAAGCGCTTTGTTACCCTGGTCTGTGAAGGGCGCTATATAAATAAAGTTTACTTACTTACTTACTACTTACTCAACACATGTACAATGTTGATCATAGAATTTGAATTAGTCAAACGGTCTGCGCGTGACAGACTCCCAAATTGTGGTTATTTTCATAGAGGGGTGTGAAGTTCCCTTGTTATCCAATGGAGACTGTATGGACACACTCACAGATTGTACATGTCCTCCTGTTTACACATACAAAGTCTGATTTGCACTAAACTTCACTCGGTTGTTTAACTCCTGGGCCTAGGTCACCTGAATGTGTGAAACATTAAATTGGCCCATTAGCGCCCCCTACAGACTGAGTACAAGTTTAACATGGGAATAGAGGTATTTCGTTTTTCTGTTGTTTGATCTCATATTTGACCCACTGAACATGCACGAAGACTCACCAAATTTTGCCACAAGTTTTGTTCTGGCATAAAATTAATTATTTTGGTGTTCTTTGAGGCGACAGTAGCTCAGTTGGTAGAGCATTGGCCTTTGAGCCTGAAGGTTGTGGGTTCGAGCCCACCACAAGACCTACTTTATGACTCCCACTGATGACTGCTGTCGTTGTGTCCTTGGGCAAGACACTTAAACCCACTTTACCTGAAGCTCCCGCTGAAAAATCAGGACTCCTGTGGACTCAGCACCTGCAGGAGTGAGGGGCTGGTGCTAAGTGTACTGGGTGCAGCTCTGACTGCGACCCCCCCCTACCCAGAAATGGATTGAGGGGAAGAGGATGGATGGTGTTCTTTGGTATAAGACAAAAAAATTGAATTCATAGGAGGCGCTGTTGTACAACATAAATGCCACAGTTTGCACATACAAAGTCCGATTTGCAGCGCCACCTCCTTTTTGCGGTGCGGCGAGGACCGTTCGACGCCGCCTGCGGCTTTGATTATTATTATTTTTACATTAATTATTATTATTATTAATAATAATAATTAATTAAATAATAATAATAATAATAATTAATTAAATAATAATAATAATAATTAATAATAATATTAACATTATTATGATTATTATTATATTATTATCATGTTATTATATTATTTTATTATCATGTTGTTATATTATATTTTTATTATCACATGATCAATATATTATTATTGGTTGATGATAACTCTTCCTCACTGCTACACACACACACATGTATGGAGGACCAAAACTGTCAAAATTAGAAATAAATGAATAAATAAATAAATGTCACATTCTGCCAATAATTATTAAGATAGCACCACAAATCATGCGATTTAATAAATACATATTATTATTATACAACGTTTTTTGGTTTCAAACAAAATAATAAAGCTTTATTATTTTCCTGTTCGTTCAAAGGTCAAGATTAAAATAAATATATTTTTATTATTTAACTGCCGTTTTGTGCCCAAAGAGATAATAAAATGTAATTGTTTTTCTTTCCCAATGTATTTATTTTCTTTATATTTTTATTTTTAATGATGTTCTGTTTTATTATTTCACGACACATTATTCCTTTCTCGTGTCTTGAAAATTAAATGCAAATCAAGGGGGCGGAGCTACAGAAAGTTAGACCAAAGCAGTCTATCATCAGAGATCGGCTGCATACATACGTTTCCTTGATATCTCTCCATTCCCCACAGTGTGAGGTCTGACCCACAGATAGGAGGTTTGACCTACAGTAGGAGGAGGTCTGACCCACAGAGAGGAGGTCTGACTCACAGAGAGGAGGTCTGACCCACAGTGTGAGGAGGTCTGACTGACAGTGAGGAGGTCTGACCCACAGAGAGGAGGTCTGACTCACAGCGAGGAGGTCTGACCCACAGAGAGGAGGTCTGACCTACAGTGAGGAGGTCTGACCCACAGAGAGGAGGTCTGACTCACACTTTTTGATGGATTAATCCATAAATGTCAATGAGTTCCTGCCATTTATGTGCAAAAACCACAATGTGAAAATTATCATGACAAACTAAAGACAAATCTTCCAAAAAATGTTCGCGGACCACCATCTTGTCTGTCTGCTATAACTGCGAGCCTGCTTTTGTGACTTTTTTTTATTTATTTTTTTATTTGGTTGTTCTTTATTATTTATAAAGATTATTATTTATAATCTTTTTTTTTTTTTTTTTTTTTTTTATATTTATTTAGGCATACAGGAAAATACATAGTTACAGTACAATAAACAACAAAGGTACTACTGGGGTTAGGGTAGGGTAAGTATGTGTGTGTGTGTGTGTGTGTGTGTGTGTGTGTGTGTGCGTGCATGTGTAAGTGTTTGAGCTTGTGGGAGATATAAAGCTGAGAAATACTGTATATACAAACATGTACACCTACATATACTCTTTCACATATATAGACCAGGATGCAATAACTATGACAATCAAACGGCAACTAACAATAAAGAAACAACGTACAAAAAGAATAAATAAGTAGATATTTGAAAACAATGAAAATAACAATACTTATGTTGTGTTTTCCCCTGTGCTAGTGTTGCGTTAAAAAAAAAATGTGTGGGGCCTAACAACTCCAGGTTGTTCACCCTCATTGAAAGGCCCCTCTCCACTTGCCCTGTGCTCATTGTGTTCGCTATTATTTTTACCCTTACTATTACTATTATTATCATTATCATTATCATTATCCTTATTATTGTTATTTTTATTATTCTAATTATTCAATTTCAATATTAATATTGTTATCATCATCATTTATTGCCCAAATCACTATTGCCAATATTAGTGCCATTGTCATCATTACCGTCACATTTCATACATTTTTCTATTGTAGTATTTTGTTGTCGCAGTTGTAGTAGGATATTTAACCATGATATTGGGTTATAGTGTGTGATTGTTGAGTCCAGTTGCTATGATTGGAGGAAGGAGAGGAATGGACAGGTAGATGTGTGTGTAGAGAGCTGTGAGTAGTTTTCAGTTGATAAATGATCTAACAGGAGGTGTTTCCAAGTGGTGATGTGTATGTTTTTTTTTGATTTCCAGTTGATTAGAATTACTTTCTTGGCGATTGTTAGCGACACCAATAGTTGTTTTTTAAGGTATTGATTGAGGTCTAGTGTGGAAGTGTCTCCAAGTAAACAGAGGGAGGGGGACATTGGGATGTGGCAGCCGAGTATGGAGGAGAGTGACTCAGTGACTAGTTGCCAGAAAGTGTTGACCGGTGTGCAATGCCAGAGAGCGTGGAGGTAGTCGTCTTTGTGATTTTGAGTGCAATGTGAGCATATTCCTGTGCTGAAACCCATTTTGGAAAGTTTGTGGTCTGTGTAGTGGTATCTATGAAGAACTTTGAACTGTATGAGTTGTAGGTTTGAGTTATTGGTCATGAAGTAAATGTTGTTACAGGTTTGGGTCCAGAAATTGGCATCGGGAGCAAATGCTAAGTCTTGTTGCCATTGTGAGATTGGAAGCGAGTGGGTATTGTCGATTCTTGTAAGTAATTTGTATATTTTGGAGTTTAGGTTTTTGGGTGCAAGCTCCAGAAGATCTGTGATGAATGGGCTTGGGTCCAGGTCTATTGTATGAATATTGATTTTATTTAGGATTATTGATCGTAATTGTGAGTATTCTAGGAAGCATTTGCTCCCGATGCCATATTCCTGAGACAGTTGTGTGAGTGATGACAGTGTGTTGTTAGTGACAATGTGACCTAAGTGCGTTATACCTTTGCTTGCCCAGGATTGGAATATTAATGGTTTATTGTTGCTTGTGAATTCCGGGTTGTGCCAGAGTGGTGTATATTTGGATGGTGTGAGAGGGGTACCTGTTATGTGATGGAGGTTCCACCAAGTTTCCTCATTTAATAATAATAATGCATGGGTTTTATACAGCGCTTTTTTGGACACTCTGACATGTCATAGCGGTGATAAACTACCACTGTAGCCACAGCTGCCCTGGAGCACACTGACAGAAGCGAGGCGACCAGTCTGTGCCATCGGCCCCTCCCATCACCACCAACAACCATTCACACACACACCAGACTCATTCTAAGGTGGGTGAAATGTCTTACCTAAGGACACAACCACAGTTTGGCACTTTACAGCCGCAGCCGCCCCACTGTGGCCCCTGGTGTTCCCAGAGGTCTCCCATCACAGTACTAACCAGATCTGGCCTTCGCATGACTAAAAGCATTGTAGGATCTTTGAGTATAGTACAGGAAGTATAGCAAATAGTCGCCTTTAAACAAACGTTACTGGTACTTTCAACCCTTTGTCTTTGCTCCACTTAAACATTCTCACTGAAACCCAAAGAGTTTTCCTGCAGCAGTGTTGGGCAGCTTCCATCTGTCTCCCCCACTCTCCCGGTGACAGTGGAGTCTGTGCTGTTACACCGGGGCCCCATGCCAGAGCCTGCACACCGCCTGCAGCTCTGGAGCCTGGTGAGAGAGAAATGTGGCCACAGAAGAACCAATGGCACTGGATCAAACGCGTTGCGATGTGTCATCTTCATTTTTCCGCTGCTCCTGATCGACTGAGGCCTAATGTGCCGAGAGAATGTGTTGGAGGACAGACGCATGGACTTCCCGTGGGCTGGCCTTTTCACACGCTTTACAACACCAAAAGAGCTGCTCATTAAAAAGGAACGCACACTGAGAAGCATCTGCTTATTCAAGGAGACAGCTCTGTTAAACGTTTTCAACAACAATCTTCAACTGCGTCTTAAAACATCGAGGAACATTTATCAGGTTTGCAGAAAGATTAACGCCTTTCGACATTGACGCAAACAAGGCTCTATCCAGGACGAGCTGGTACTAAGGTGTTGGCCAGAGGGCTGCTGGAAGCCATGGTTGTCAAAGAATTTCCACAGATACTGGTTTGTTGAGGGTACATTGACGGGATACGGTATCAAATTCTAGGAAAATAAAGTTTATTTGTAGTTCATAAACTAGGAAACACAAAGTGCTGAACAAAACAAGATAAAAACAATCACACAAAGCATTAAAATAATAAAAAGTCACAGTTCATGAAAAGAGAGAAGATAAAATCCCTCAGTTGTAGCAGCTCAACAGATCTGCTTTTAACCTGGATTTGAACATTGTCAGAGAAGAAGCCTGTCTCACATTTTCAGGAAGACTGTTCCAGATTTTATGAATCTGAAATACAGCCTCCTCATGTTTAGTCCTGACTCTGGGACCAGCAGGAAGCCAGTCCCTGTGCTCCTCAGAGTTGGTTTACATGGCACCAACACGTCACAGATGTACTTTGCAAGTAAGTAAGTAATGTTTATTCATATAGTGCATTTTACAGACCAAGGTCGCCCAAAGCGCTTTACAATGTTCAGAGTTCAGATACTTTGTTGCAAGGCCATGCAGAGACTTCTATTACCAACGCATAATGGAAATATAACCTGGCAGAGTAGAACCGAGTAGAGTAGAGTAGAGTAGAGTAGAGCAGAGCAGAGCAGAGCAGAGCAGAGCAGAGCAGAGTAGGGCTAAAGTTGAGCTGGTGGAAACGGTGCTTAAGAAAGTCATCTTTATTTATGTGACACATTTCACAGACCCACAATAGGGCTTTGTATTTTGATGAAAGATGGATGTTATCAAAAGAAACTGGATGGCATTCGTTTAAAGTAGCTATTCAAATAGTCAATGATCCTTCTGGGCACCTGAGCAAAGCCATGTTCCAGCTTGACCTTCTGCCCACCAGCTATTACCAGACTGAAGCACTGTCATTGGTTGATGTCACACTTTATTGCTTTTAGTATATGGTGTTACGACGCGAAGTACAAAACATATTTGAGGATACAGAGACAGATTGAGAGTTCAAAAATTGATATAATTTACTTCTTAATATAAAGGTTAATCACAACAAACCCAACCCCGTGTCCAGAACACAACAAAACCCAAAGTAATTAAATTAAAGGTGGACCTGCTGGGCCAGCCAAAACAAACAAAATGGGCCGACACTGAACCAACCCTATACAGGGCCGCCCGGATCCGATGCCGACGCCCTAACTAAAGAATAAAGCAAACCCAAATAGCTACACCCTCACCATCGAAAATGTAACCACCGGACCCAAAGAATGGCTAAAACACACACACAGCGCCGCAAATGGCAAAGTGGCATGGTCTCTGCCAAAACAATTTCCAAGTGGTAACTTCTGTTTGTTACTTACGTGGCAATATAAATTATTCTGATTCTAAAAGAACCAGCCATGTTTATTTCGAGCAAATAATGTGAACAATAAACAAAAGTAGAATATCGAAAAACATAAATAACCTTGAGTTACATTTACATTCACAATTCTAAATTATAAATATTATATACACAAAAGAAACACTTGCAGGTACTCGAAAAGGAGTGGGAAGAAGAAAGCTTGTTTAATCCCACCCCTGCAGCTTCCTATTTGCCCCAGTACAAAATCAAAGCGAATGGCACGTTTAAATAAACTGTTCAAGTTTTAAAGTAAACATTAATGGGTTTAAGGACATATACAGACAAGCTACATTTTACAAGGATGCAAATCAACTGCATGAGGGAGATATAAGTAAATACCAATAGGGTACATAAAGGACAGCAAATACCAGCAATGGTAATGAAACAACTAATAAACAATAAGAAGTTGTTCCTTTGCTGTAGGTCTGTGCAGTAGACCGTTGAAGTCATTCAATTGGTTCATGAATTTTAGTAAAAAAGTCTGAGAAAGACTTTTACGTGAAGAAACCTGTTGGACGACAGCCACACGTCGTGATAATGCAGGTGGTCAATAATGCACTTACTGGATATAGTGCTTTTCATGACACCCAAAGACGCTAGAGAAACTACTACTGTGGTCACAACTGCCCTGGGGCACACTGACCAGTATGGGCCATCGGCCCCCTCCCACTACCTATTGGTGAGGATTCTTCTCCCCTGCTGATATTGTGGTGGCATAGTATAAAAACAATAATTTTGTATCAAAATGCAATGCAACTGACCTTTTTAATCGATTGAATTATTCCCACTGTAAGCACTGCATGTCATTCCATAACTTTTGAAATGCTGCTCAGTTCTTTACCTGTCCTCAGGAACACAGCAAAACAGTGACACATTTGGCCTTGAGATCAGGAGCTCGGGTGGATTATTACAAAAGGATGTGGTTCTGACGGATGGGCAAGTGTCATCGTTATGATCAAGTAACACGGTTCAGGAAGCATCCCAAAGACATGTTTAAACTCAATCGACTTTCAGGCTCATGTTGATTATACTGTATGTGAATGTTCTGAGTGATCGGGGATGAGCTAAAGTCTTCCATCTTCACCTGGAGTGAACTGAATGAGTAATGACTATAGTATTGCTTTAAGAGGCTTGCCAAGCGGAGGTGTAAAACAGATGGCTGTATAAGGTTTTTCTAATTCTGACAAAGCGAGTGCATTGATTACAGATCTGAAGTAATACTGGCTGGCAGAGACTAATCCAATGTTGTGCGTCCAAGTTTATCTTTTAAAGAAAACAGAAATACTTGAAAACATCTTTAAAGAACCAAGTTATTCCAATGTTGTTTTATTACACATGTCAAATAAACTGAATCTTGAACAAGATTTGCAATAAACCACACTTTTTACTATGCTATCTATTATGCTATTTATTTGGCCATTTTAAGTGTGAGAATATTACATCACTGCTCTTTGCTCAATGAAGACTCCACCATCACATGAGGCTTTGTAAGCGAGAGTATTCATCCAATCATATGGCTGATAGATGGGACTAGTTTTGTTGCCCAAACAATATGTTTTTATAGAATAATCGATCCTGGCAAAACATGATGGGTCCACCATGCCTTGGTTATTAATTATACCCATGTAATGGGGGTTGTTGTGGCAAAATGACTAGGGATAATAGGACCAGATTCAAAATTTATGGGAAACATAAACAGGGAGAGTACAAGTTGGGGGCTGTGGTAAAAGAATTATTCTCGTTTACAATAACAGTTTGGATCACTGTTGTAGACTCAAAATAGAGACTGATTTATATTAGGATATTAACTTTTGGGTAAGGAGTTTTTCAATCAATTTTTAAAAGTTGAATACTGAAAGCATTAAGCAAAAACACCTTTTTTGTCTGGTATCAGTGATTGTATTTTGTGTTGACACAGATTGCTCAATGGAAATGGACATGCTTGAGCTACTGTGCTCAGGTATCTGCATGAGAGTCCAATCCAGGACACGGTATCAGGATATCTGGTGAGTCTATCCTTTTATAGTTAGATATCTCGATATCGATCCCTTATACAGCTCAATCTCGTATACTCTCACATACTACATTCCTAACCGACTCGGTAGCGAAGTTACTCTCAAGCGCACAGCTTCGTTTTTCACCCGTTATCTGCGCTAAACTCAATCGACAAGACAGCTCATTTTTCGACGCTTGTACTTTTACACTACTACATGTTTGCTGCAGAAAAATGATCAGGTGGATTTTAATAAGAGACACTTTGTGGTTCAGTGAGGGACTTTGCATAAGTATAGGTGTTTTCCACAGGGTATGTTGGTCTATAGTAGCGGGAATGTTAACAAGATGTTGATCATTATTTCTTTCGTTCTAAAATAAAAACCATGTTGAAACGTGTTATCTATTGTTATAGTGTTGATAGGTATGATTAATATTAAAATGGATAACATCATGGAATGATGTGAGAAATCATGTGTTTTAAGTGTTTTATGTTTGGTGGTGTTAAATTGGAATGTTCATAAATAATTTTAGTAAAGAAAAATTTATGTAATTCAATGAGCGTATGATTTGTTGGTAAGGTGAGTAATTAAGGTGTTGAACTTTGGAATCAGGACTGAATGGGAAAATAATAAGACTGTTTAGTTAGGAGGGGAGGTATGCAGGTAACTGGGTATAAAAGGGAGATTAGTTATGGTTACGGAAGGGGATCAGATAACATATAAAGTTCTTAATGGTCTAACATTATTTATAAAAAGAATTATCTTTGGTGTAATGATATAGATAAATGGTTATATATAAAGTATTGGTTTTGTCCGCATATTTGTTTTTTATTATGGGAATTAGTTCATTTAAATGGCAACCGGATTACAGGTTTAACGTATGGGACGATATATCAATAAATATAAAAGGATTTTATAAGCAGATATTTATAGTTATTCGGGGAGGGTTTGTAAAAATAATTTTGGTTTGGTTGAAATATGTTATATAGGGATTGTTGTTAAGGGGGGATGATTCTTGATTAGAAGTGGGGTTTCATATGTGTTGTGGTTGGTTGTGTTGGTTTGTGGGGTTGGCAGGTGTGGGGGGGTGTGTGGTATATTTAAGATATTGTGATTGTGTATATGAAGATCGGTAGGTAATGTATGGGGGGATGAGTATGTGTAGGATTAATATTAATTGAGAAGTAAGAAAATTTAAGATGATCTTAACTGAGATAAATTAAAATTAAATATAGTTGAGGGGGTATGTAACATGTTTCTTGGCTTATTGGATGCATTGAAGGTAGTTAATTATACTGATCATGAAATGGTTAGTTAATGGAGGGAGTGGGAAGATGTTGTGGGTCATGTGTAAGGAATGTATAAAAGTGGAGGAGTAAGTGTGTGTGAGGAGGGTATTAATTTTGTGTTGAGTATTATTATGTTAAGTGAATTGAAAGGTTATTTGTTATGGGGTAATAACTGAAAGGTAGGTGTTGTTTGTTTGTGGGCTGGAGGGTCTATGGGGGGTTAATGGGTTGGTTAATTATGTATTATTTGTGGGTGAATATGTTGGAAGGATGTTTGTAGGGTATGAAAGTTTATTTGATTATTATAGAGAAGTGTTTGATGATGAACTTGAATGAGACTTGAAAGACTTTAGGGGATAATGGTGTAATGGGGGATGGGTGGGGGTATGAGGGTGGGATTGGGATTGTGATAATGGTTAGTGTTAGGGGAATTATTTGTGTTAGGTAAGGGGTGGTGATGTATGAAGATGTGGTAAGGTAAGTAGCTATGATAAGAGGAAAATATCAGATGAGGATTAAGTTATAAGGGTAGGATGGTAGTGTGAGAAAAAAATATTGATTTATTTGAATTATGATGAAAAGTATACTGGTGAGGGATTTATTGTGTGTTTAGGGTATAATATGCTGTGGAAAAAAAAAATATTGTTGGGCAGGAGGAGTATTTTATTTTAATAGTGGTAGGTTAAGTTTGATTTTTGTTGTTATATTGTTATGTGTGATTTGTTTATGGATGTTTTAGGGAAGGTGTTGGGCCGGGATATTACGAGAGATTATTAATATTAGAGAGGAGATAAGAGAAGATATTCCAAGGAACTTAGAGGAAATATTAGTGACATTTTAATTTGCTTTTATGGTTTTAAATATTATATTGATTTAGTTTGAATTTTTAACGTATTTGTTGTGGTTGTATAGACATTATTGTGGTGGAGGTCCTCTGGAAGATATGTCCTGTTTCCTCTAATGTTTAACCTGCATTGACCTTGGCTGCAGTGTCGATGTGATAGTTGGGGGGCGCTCTCATACACAGCAGTCTGTGATCTTGAAGCCTCTGAGGTGAGTGGCCTCTCTGCTCTGTGCTCTGTCCTGTCACTGCGGCTCTCATCTCCAAACGGTCAATTTATCTTTGTTTGAATCTTTCCCTGGAAGCACAATTCCATTTCCAACGAAGACATCTGCACAAGGAAAAACTGGTCAAACGTTTGAGTGAAGGCTCATTCGGGATGCTGATTTCTCTGATAGAGATGTATGCAAATCTATAGGTCAGTTCAAGTCAAAACTATGGCCTTCTGTGCTAACTCAAAGTTCTTTGAGATCATACACTGGTTCACAGTGTCCATCCATGCCATCTTCAGTTCTACCAATACAGGCAGACTGTACCTTCACATAGTTACGTTAATGCATCTAATATAGTGTTTTTAGATTGATCAATTGTTATACTGCCCCTCCAATCCATCTGCTCTCCTCGCAATGGATTCTTTCAGGTAACAGGTCCTCTTCTAGTCCCTCTCAGCCCTTGTTTCTATCCAGGCTGACTGGTGTTCTAATAACAGGGATTGGCTATAGAAGCCATGTTACCAGGGAATTCCCAGATACTTGTTTGGTATGTAGGTTTGAGCAGGAAGAGCTGAAGGAAATGTGCGTTAGGCGCTTGTTAGAGGAAGTATCTCAGTCGCTGAATTAAGTTATAGTATGTTCAGTCCTATTCTCAATCACATTTTCGGATTGAGAAATATCACCCACAAAAACGCATACTTCATTCATTCTCATAATTCTTCTCCTTCTCTCTTGTTACAAGGCCTTTATGGTTCGCCCATGTACTAAATGACTATTTACTTTTGGATTGGATCCCGTGTGTATGTGCTGCCAGTATATAAGCCGTGTGTGTGTGGTGTGGTGAGAGTCCAGAGATCTCCTGAAGCCGTGCATGGGTAAAGACCTTTTCCATTTTAATAACTTTTGCTAAATAACCATACGTTTTTATTTCCTGTTTGCTATAGCTGTATATCCAATGTTTTTGAGGTTGTAAAATGATTTGAAAAAACGAAACTGTACATTATCTGTTTGATGTATCATGAGCTAGTCGGACTCCCTAACGTTTCCTCCCTTGGATAACTGTGACATGCTTTCCTCCCAGCCCTAACTAAAAAAGGCTTGTAGGGGAAGCGAAGGCCTGAGTCCTTATTCAACACCTGTATGCCAACCCCATTTCAACAAACTGACGCTGTGTTTGGATCTGTTTTTTGTTCTGTACTATAAGAGCTGAGAAAATGGCAATGGTCTCTCACAACACATTTTCTCTTTAATAACATGTCCTCACGATTCTACCAGTGGGTTTCCAGTTGAATATTTGCTAATTGCACACACTATTACATTAGATTACTCGTTTCTCTTGGGGGGGGGTTTTGTGAGATTAGTTAATATAGTTCATATTACTTGGAAAGAGCGATTCTAGTGTCCTCATTAAATGGAAACCAATTGAACTTTTGCATGTACATCCTGAACCAAATGTGGCGCTGTTTATAGCCCACCTGTGCTTTGTTTCTGCAGAAACTGAGGGAGTAAAAGACAACGCGAAATAGAGCGTCTGGAGTTTGAGCGGTGAGCGCAGAGAACGGGATAAAGGAGCGGGGAGCGGGGGAAGGGATCTGTCGCGACCGAGAGACGTGAGAAGGAGATGGGAGAGAGAGGGAGCGTGAAAGGAGCGAGAGCGAGAGATGAGGGATCGGAATAAGGAGAGACGAACAAGTGAGGCGAGACCGGGACCGGGATTGGTCTTCGCACAGTAGACAGAGCAAGAGCGCAGCAAGGGACCAGGTAAGTGTGCAACGCGTGGGAATCACAAATACACGAAATTTACCTGTCATATAGGGTTTGGCTTAATGCTTTCAGTGCACTTTTAATATATGTGGGAAAACATATTACCCAATGTTTAAAATAAGATTATCCTGTCCACTCTAGTTGAAGCTCTCAGGATCAAAATCTGTTTGTAACGTCGATCTAGTTCTGTTTCCACAAGCCCAACTGGACCTCTCCATGGTTATTTTCTCATTAATTTTAGTATCTGGTCCTAGTATCCTAGCAATTGGCCCACAACAAACCATATCTGGGGTATTTTTTGATAACCAAGGAATGGTGACCCAGCAGCCTTCTTCCAGTATCGGTTTTTCTATTATTGCATAATTTTGGGGCAATATAAAAAACTTACTAGTCCCAATCTAATCAGCCCATACTGATTGGGTCTAATTCTCTCGCCTACAAAGAAACATGGAGGTGTCAAGCATTGTGCATTTGCTGATAGACCAGATGAGCCAAAATGAAGCCAACTTTGTCCTTAAAGAGCCACCTTCTTGGAGACTTGTGGCTTGTTTGATGGCCAATTATGCCATTTATTGCAAAGGCTAGTTTGTGCAACAACTAACTATTTATGTAAAATATTCGTTTTGGTTCTCAAAAATACATTTTTACAAAGGTATAACTTACGACTATATTTTGATAACTGCTGTATTACGTTTTTACCTGTATTCAACTCATTTGAAAATATTCCATTTAAAATCTATTTTGACAGAGAGGTGATAGAGAACGCGAGCGAGAGAAAAAGGCGAGACCCTGAGGACTGAAGAGGAGGCGTACGACGTAGGAAACTCGAGTGGAAGCCGACGGGACAAAGACAGCTATCAAGAGGTTGGATATAGACTCTAACTTTACAACAAGTCAAACTGTTCGGAATCAGATTGGACAATGTTTTTTGGGTTTTTTTACCCATGCGACTAAAAAACTGAGCTGAGGGAGAGGAAATGGCCAGAGACTACGCCAAAGAGCCTGAGAGAAGATGAACGCAAGCGAGAAATGGCAAGCGATAAAAACCTTATACACATTTTAAACTTCATGAGAGGATGAACTAACTGTCGACTGTTTAGGGTCAAAGAAGGCAAACGATTGAAAGCGGTTCCTTGAGGACTAAGCCGACGACGAGAGATGACCCAAAATATTACTGGTAAAATTTGAGATCTTTCTCTCTCTTTGCCCCTGATGCAAACTACTTCCAACTACTCAGTGAATTTCGTCATAACAATATGTAGAGAATAAACAGCCAGATTATGAGCCTGAGTGACTTAAGTGGGTCCTCCTTCTCAGTCATCTGTATCCATTGTCCCACCCCAACATTAGCTATCTCTCCACTCTCCATGCCTACCTAGCTTGTTCGCAAACTCTCAGGGCTTCCATCGCACTCTACCTCATTCCATCCATAACCTTGACCTACCTCTGTATGATACCGGGCTCATGCAACAATTCAACAACTATCTCATCCGTTATCTGCAGATCCATACCATATCAATACATCATGCGGCTGCTCTACCAACCTGGTCCATTGAAAATATCTTTGGTTCCCCATTGTTCCATCCTAGACACACCATACTTCATCAAGCAATTTAATTTCTTAACACTTTAATTCGTCATTCACTTCCTTCTTCCCCACTAGCTCCACAGCATACAACAGTACGGCAGCAATCACTCTCTCATACAAAATTTTTGGCCTCTCACCTCTATTCACTGCACCAAGAACCTTGCCACCTTGCTATCTTGAATCCTCTTGCATTTGAAAGCTACTTGGATCCACTAAAATCATCGCTCCTTCGCAACCTGGGCTTTTAATCAACGTTTCGTTATATTTTTGGATATTTCTCATGTATTTCCTTTTGAGTAGTTATATCTTTTTTTTATATAGCCCTAGGTACTTCTACCTGACAAATATAAAAACTAGTACCTAAATTGGTTAATGTCTAAAAGTGCAACAAGTCTTTCAACTGGTCCTTAAAATTCAGATTGTACTCAAAGCGTAATCCCAATGGCCCTGTCACGTTGCAGTTCATGTGTTTCTTAAACCTGCCATCTCCTGTGTGAACTTTAGGGGCAGTGCGCTGCAGAAACGCCTCAGAGACAGTGAAGGAGGCTGAGTTATAGACGAGCGTGACAGGAAGAGGGAGAAGAGGTGCTGGAGAGATCAGCAGCGGCTTCTGGACGAGGAAACCCGACCACTGACCAGAATTCCGGAGGGGTGATGCGTGTGTGGTGTGGTGGTGTGTTTGTGTGTGTTTGAGAAGAGGGGGTAGCAGAACAGAGGGGAACATGCTTTGAAGTTCATTATGAGGTCTGTTCCGCGTGCATCTCATCACACTGAACACTTGGCTTTTGTCTGAGGAGAGACGAATCGTGAAGCACCTCGCTCCACAGTTGGTGGTCCTGAGCATCACTTTTGAAACCTTTCAATGTAACAAATAGGCTGTCATCTTTTTTGTTTGATCAATGCAACATCAACCATTGGTTTCTTTTTCTAAATTAAATTTTTTATAGAAATATCCAAGATCTGAACACGTTCTCTGGAGACCATTCAAATTCAATTATTTGTGTATATCCCCATATTCACAACACATCCGCCCAGGGGGACTTTACAAAGATGTAGAGTTCCGCAACCACAGACAAGAACCCACTCAAAAACACCACAAGATAAAAACGAGAAATTCTTATGTAGCCCACAATGAGAGGGATCACTACACCACATGCTTGAGATTTACTGCTACAACTAAATTGTATAGGTCTAAAACTTGTACTGTCTAAGAGTCCATTTTCAGTGGCTCCTGTAATTTTTTTTCATACTTATTACTGTGTGGAGTTTGTCATGTTCTCCCTGTGGCTGCGTCTGTTTCGTTTGGTGCTCCCGGTTTCTCATACCCACTAAAACATGGTATAATAGCTCTCCTCTCTCTGGGGCCAGGAACTCCGGAAAAGATACTCTGAAATTTGAGTGAGAACTTGCTTTGTTAAAGAAAAGCTCAATAAAAATTAATATATGAGATAAATTTTGAACCCTAACACACAAGTACAAAATGTTTTTATTTAACAATAAAGTTATATTTTACAATAGTAAGCATTGACAAAATCCTTTAACTTGACACAGTTTTGGTTTCAGCCAAAAACACGCAACTGATCTTGTTTTGTTCTAGATAAATCTCCAAGAACAAATATTCTCAACTCAAATGAATCCTTTGTGTCAAATTTAACCTCATAATGTAAGAAGCCTAAAAAGCAGATGTTTGTGGATTTTAAACACTTTGGTCTCCGACCAGAAATGAGTTTGACAGCCTGCTCTAGTCCAAAGTTTCACTGACCTTATCTGTGCAGATGGAGGACAGAGGAGGATGAGCGTCGCGGCACCCGCTGATCCCGGAGCCTGAGCCTGAGAGGAACGTAGCACCACAGAGCCAGCGTGACCACCGGAACACCGCGTGCACCCGAGAACACAGAGCAAGCACCGGCCCGAGCCCAGAGAGCAACAGAGAGAGCAGAGTGGAACCAAAGCGTGAGCCACATCCACGCCCCCTGCTCCGATGACGAGGTGGAGGAAGGAGAGGACGAAGACGACTACAGCCCAACCGACGAGGATCCCGACCTGAAGCCTCCCGGCCTCAAGCCCACCATGAGGCCCATCACCGGCGGCACCCTCGTTGTCCCATGCCAGTGGGAATCTTCTCCCAACACACCGGGAGACGAGTCGCCCTGCGATTCATCATCCCCCATGAAACTCTCCTCCGACGCATGCCACAGGAGGACACCGGCCCAAATCGGACTGAGCCTCAACGGTACTGTGCTTCAGAAGATTCTATTCAGATATTCAAGTAGTTATATACCAGAGATATGAAGAAATGTCCACCACTTCCTGTTAACATAGTTTCGACTATTCTTCCTTAATAATGAGTGATGTGGCGTTGGATTCGGAATGAATTCCAGATAGTATTGATATTAATTCAAGTGGTCCAAGACGGTTCACCAGGTTTCAGAAAGGGCCACCAGTGTGGCAGCAGGTTTTCATTACAAAGCAAAGCACAGCAGACTCCACCCATTCCTCATGTCATCCAGTGAGGTCTGCATGATTGAATGAAAACCTGCTGTCCTCCCCCCCCCCCCCTTTTTCTAGAATCAGTTGAACCCCTCTGGTGAAGGATATTGCAACATGTTAGGAAATATGGATTGCATATAACAATCTTTCCCTGTTGCTGGTCTGGTGGCAGCAGTCACAAAATCCATCACTCTTAAGGGAGCGCTCCACCTCCTACTGCAAGAAACTCATTTATACTGAATATACTGCAGTCCTTCTCTTAAAGCTCATACCAGAGTTGAGCCGGGAACTCTGCTCCCTCTTCACCAACACAGTCTGACTGCTGAAGCTGCAACCCCGCCACAGTCCTTGATCACACTTTAGCTTAAAAAAAGCAGCTCTACAAATGAACAATGCTCACCGCTAGCTCGAGGTATCCCATAAGGAAGTGCTTATGGGCATAGTTTGTCAAACTTCGCTCTGGCTCATATTGACTTGCATGTAAAATAAACTCAACTGCTCAGTATCCGTTTAGTCACACTCACCATTTTGGGCTTAGAAATCCACAGGGGATGCCCTGTGATCCTGTGTTTATATTGTGATATTTTCATTGTAAATCTAATATGAGCCGTTTAAGGATTGGCTAATCGAATTCCTTCATTTGCGGACAAACTCCATGGTTTGGCAACATTTCTCCCCTGTTACATGCACGCTGTACAAATGCCATGAAATGTGTAGCATTGGCTTTCACTAGATTAATGTTCAAATTGGCCTCTTCACATTGAGGCTACGCAATGGTGATGTCACACTTGGTCAGTCCATTCCCTAATATAAGCACTCTGGATGTCTTTCTGTGCAGCAGGCTCCACGTAGCCCCAGCCAGCCCAACGCCACCAAGAGGAAGAAGCTGACCGTGGATAGTGTTTTGGCAAGTTCTCGACGAGGAGCGACGAGGCTGCCGCGAAGAAGAAAGCTGGTGCCTCTGGACACTACGACGACAAGACCTGGCAGTGGACGAGCCGGTCTGTCCAGCTCAAAGGGGCCAACGCCGAGGAGAAACGCAAGCACATCAAGAGCCTCATCGAGAAAACCCACGGGAAAATCCCAGAGCACTTCTCTACCCCCTGACTGACCTTGTGGACTCGTTGAGTGACGGTGGGGGGTGTGCGTTTAGGTTGAAGTCTGGTTCAACATGGCAGTGGCCAGTGTTAAAGCTGGGGTACAGAACTTTCAACTACTCAACAATTTAACTGGGTATATTGCATGCAGAGAGTGGCCCAGAGAGAGGGAGTAGGGAAGAAGAAGAGAGAGGGAACTACAAAAGACACATTAGTAAAAATGAAATGGAAACGCTTGTAGAAACAAAATAAATGTATAAGTGTCAGGTGTTTATACACTGGGTAATTAATGGAGAGTTCTATTGTTTAATAACATCCTGTATATTTGCATTAAACATGTTCCGTTAATTAATAGATGACATGTTTCGCGCGGACGCTTGATTTGGTAAATGTCTTAACTTTTCTAAATTCTTTGTGTTGCTCAACTGTGATGGAGGCCGTGTTTCGTCCTGGATCTAGTTAGAAAATACATCGAGTACATTGAGAGGAGAGCCGACGTTAGTTGGGACTTGGTCTGCTCTAAGTAATCATGATTCTTTGTGATGGAGCTTTGGTCTGGAGCGACTTGATTCATGATGTTTAAATTTTTGATTTCTGCAGGTATGGCTATAGTACACCACAAGAGATACAGACATTTTGCAATGGTAAAGTTCTTGTTAAAGCTGGTGTACCTGACTTTCAAACCACAGAAATGGAACCAACCTATCAAAACCTTACCCCTGAATTACGTAGATCTGTCATCGTGCAACTTTAGCCCAGTCCAGCCTGCGGTGATACTTGGGGTTGAACGTTCCCTTTGCTAAAGTCCTAAAAAGAAGCAGTGTGAGCAACGTTAATGAAGATATTATTCCACATCTTAGTTTTTCCGTTACAGTGCGAGAGCGGATCTTGATTTTGCAATCCGCTGTATTACTGTACAATGAATTCCCTCCAACTAGAATTCACTCACATATGAAGAGAACCCCCTAGTCTTCTCCTCTCTCTAACCCTCTCCCTGATCCCTCATTATTCTCTCTGGGTTTCCTACTGTCTCCTTTCTATGGTCCTCTCAAACTGGATTTCACTCCACCAGTGACATTCAAGCGTTATGGACTGCCACATGGAAGCAAAATCAATGGCATGAGGCTGCATGTGCCGGGTCTCTTGAGTGACCGTAAATCACGCAAATATTAAATGTTGAGTCATCAGAGATTCTCGTGCCATTTCTTTAGCGGAGCCTACAACATAAAAACCTGCTGCTTGCATTCAGTTTGATCAACGCTTTTCTTTTAAATGTGAATTGGGCGTGGCCTCAAAACACCTAGAGTACGATAACTATGGCTCTTATGACCCTCCCGTGCTTTGTCCAAATACAAGGAGCTATCTGCTCTAGAGTTTAATTATAAAGACAAAGAATATTAAACAGGACGACAGGAGTTACATCCAAAACAGAAAATGTTCTGCCTTTAGAAAAAGTCACACCATATAACACTAATTTGAAACTTGCTGTGGTCAGATTTGTGGGTACCCCAGCAAATTTCCTGTTCTCCATGTTGTAACTTTTTAATTTTGGTGAAATTAACACTTTATTTCTGATCAGTTCTCCGATGAAGAACCGAAGTTTTTATTGTAAAAATGTGGAGAACGCTAATTTATGAAACGTAAGCCATGCAGATTGGACTTGTGAAATAGGCCTACTGATAAGACTGAGTTTAACGGTATAGAAGTGAAGCGCCATCATGTTCAGCCAAACACACCTGGATCACGGACTCTTCCATCCGCCTCTCTTCATGAGTCTCATTGAGCATTTGCTGTAAATAAATTTTTGTTGAATGTTGGAAGAGCTCTGAAGGACTCTACTGGTCCAATCACTGAAAATCCAAAGGCGATTTCAGGAACTTTCTGGTCCAAATTTATCTTAAGATTTGTTCATTTTGAGGCCACGTTTCACATTCCGAAGAGGCGGTGATCCAGTGTTCCTCCGACCGTCGCTAACTTGAACATCTGGTTTCACGAGCACATTACCACTGAAGGAGAAATTGCTCTTTATTGTATTGGTGAATTTGAATAAAAATGCTTTTATAGATAACAAGTGGGTTTTTTTAGTTGTATCAATGAAAGAGGCAGAAGAATGCCCTAATTCTTGCAGATGTGTCAGGAAACTGACGTATGAGTCACTGTCCCAGTGGAGTACCACCAATGTTTTGAACCAATAGGTCAAGAGGCAGATGAACACAAGCTAAGCTGGAGCCAACTTCCTTCTTGGTATATGTTCTGAGGCTTAGTCAGACTGCAACGAGGCAGCTTATGCATGGCGACAGTGGCTTGTATAGCAATGGCTTTGAACCTGAAGGGTCGTGGGATCAAAGGCCCACCATGAGACCTTCTCGATACCACTGATGGCTGCTGTATGTGTCCTTGGGCAAGACACTTAACCCCGACTTTGCTTGATCTTTCCGCTGAAAGATCAAGAATATGCTATGCCTCTGACTGGCAGTCTATCCTCCTTTGGACTCACCACCTGCTGAGGGATCAGTGAAGAGCTGGATGCATTAGGCAAGCTGGAGTTTACCCTGGAATGAGGGTGAACTGATTGGTAAAACAATTGAGCCATGTAGTATTGACCAATGACAATATAAAAAGGACAGAAAGGCACTAAATGTGGAGTGTGACAAAACTGCACATGGAATACAATGAGCCAGAGCAAGTTTAAGCGTAACCTTGTCCATTAGCACTTCTCTATAGGGCTTGAGTGGAGTGATTAGCATTGTCCATCTAGTCTGTGACTTTTTCTTATAAATTCCAGTTCCCAATTACCTCAATATCACATTTTTTGGACAACATTTCAAGCAGTCGAAATGAAAGTTTTGTAAAAATGTCTCTGTACATCCTCTGGAAGTTATCTTGAGCAACATTGATTTGAAAATACAGAAAGTGGTTTTTTCATTATGCCCAAACAAGGCTGAGTCTTCGCGCCGCCCAGTCTCTAACCCTCTCCCACACACATCAGAAACTCACACTTCAGACTTTGTAAAGCCCTATTAGTACGATGCATGATTTATACAATTACTTCTGTGAGTGATTGCCCTCCTTCTTCTCAGCAAGAAGGTCATGGGGTTGAATCCCAGCTCAGAACAAGGGTCTTTCAAAGTTGGTTCCCCTATCACCAAAAACATGACCATCCTGACCAAGCATCAACGAGCGCCCTATGCTCCCTGATAACATGCCCTCGTTGCATCAGGATGGTCAAATGTAAAGGATGAATAGCCAAGGACTAAATAAAGTGCACCACCTAAGCTCATCGGGCGATTTCTGGAGAAAAGCACAATTGAACCTTCATTGGTCTCGTCCAATCTCATGGACATGTGGTGGCAGTCCAATAGGTTCTGTCGTTCAAAAAAGTGACTGACCTTCACTTTACACAGACATATCTAATGTAGAATTTTATAAAGTTGATATATTTCATTACCATAAAATGGGGTAAGTCAATTTTTAAACATTAAGTGTGGAGTTTTCTCTCCAGTCGTGTCCTCTGCTTGTAACGGTTATGCTACGGTCACAAACCCTTAATAACAGCTTTTTCAGACAAAGAAGAAAAGAGAAACCAATCAGCCTCAGGTCAAAGATCTACTTCAATGCATTTGTGATTGGCCTTAAAAGCTTTTGGTCTCCCATTGTCAATCATCTGTTGAAACATGCTCGTCTAATGAACCAGAGTCAGGGGCGGTTATTTCCTAAAATTAGGGAAACAATATTACTATATACTGTTTTTAATCAATTAATGGTGTTGGGGATTGACGAGCAGGCCTAATATGCCATTGAAGGTTCGGCCCTTTGATTTTTGAGTTTGCAGAGGGAGTGGAGTACTTTCCGGGTTGGGGGGGCGGCACGCGTGGATGGGGTGGGAGGTTTGGTGGGGGGGAGGGAGGTCCCTGAATCCGGTGAAGGTAAATCGATATAGTGAATTGGATTTGTTCGATATGTGTAACAAATTTCTATTTTTTTTTATTGGTTTTTTAAAAGTGTGGGGTAATATATTTTTGTAATAATTTATTTAGGATTGGGGGGATGGAGAATTGGTTTTTGAGTATGTGGGGGGTTTTGTGGATGGGTTATTAATGTTATAGAAGTGATGATTTAATGTTGATGAGAATTAGAATGGAAAGAGTTGGAATTAAAATATATAGGTTGGAGCTGTTGAAATTGTGAAGCTAAAGGTATATGATTAAATATTAATTGGGTGTGGAGTGGAATAATGGAATTGGTGTTTAAAGTTAAGTAATATTGTAGTAAATTTTGGACATGGTGCTATTAATAAGTGATGAGAAGGTGATTTGGAAAATTTTGTGATGTAGGAGTACATGGTTTCATAATTTTGTACAAAATGTTTATGCATTGTAGTGGTGAGGGTGAGAGGTTAATGTATGTATTATTGGTGTTTTGGTTTCAAAAAGTATGTGTTGAGAATGACGAGTGGATGGTGTGTCGATTTATTTGGGGAATGTGTTTGGTTTGTATGTGGATTATGGATTTATTGTTGCAAAATGTGAAAAGAGTTATTTTTAATTTATTAGTGGGTTTAGTGGAGGATGAATAATAGATGGATGTTAGACTGACATATAATTATTATGGTGGATGTATTTTTTAATGTGGGTGGGGAATGTTGAAGGGTAGTGTAGTGGGAGGGTTTATGGGGGGTAAAAGTGTGAGGATATGGGAATGTGTTGATTTGGATGGGAAGTGGTGTGTTTGACGAGGGATGGATTCCATGATACCTAGGAATGAAGAGAATAACGAAAAATAAGTTAGACAAGAAACTGACGATCATGATAAGGGATGCATAATCAGAGTAAGGCAGTATCATAATGCAGGCATGCAAGTGAAAGTTATAATATAAGCTAAGTTGGGTATATTGGTGTAAATTAGTAGTGGTGTAGTGGGAAGTATGGTGGTAAGATAAAGTGGAGAGAGTAAAGAGTAGGGAGGTTTATCGGTGCAGGTTTTAAGGGTGGTGATCAGGGCACAGAGTTA